TGATGGCATGCCCTTACCCGCCAAGAAACTGGGAGGGTATGATATGTCACTGCTCCTTTTGTATATGTTTGCCTTTTCACTGGGATTAAGCGCCTTGCAGATCAATAGAAAACTTCATTAATCAGCCCTCGCAACAAGGGCAACGCAAAACAGGAATTGACAATTACAAGCCAGTTCATAACACTCCTATAATAGCCGGATTATTCGTGAGATTGGTTAAAAAATAGTGAGGAATTTCATCAACTCATTAGAGCTGATAGACAAGTCCTAAAATTGTTTCTTTGACTAACGCTCGTACACAGTCGGGTAGCTGCATTATCTGAACTACATACCAGACTCCATTGACTCAAGTATGCAATATTAATTCTATGTTTGGACATGCAGCAACCATTCGATCGGATGCCTCACAAACGGTTACCGAATCAGCTAGATTTGTTTGAAGTCGCGAACACATTAATGGGTTGGCTATCATCATACGTGGACGGTCCCGCCAAAATAGTCTCCTTAGACGATTATTGCTCTTCTCCGCGTCTAAGTGCCTGCGGGTTTAAGCAAGGATGTGCGCTCGGTACATTAGTTTCCCTTCTTTGTGTCAGTGCTAGCAGTTTAGTTAACAAACATGTCGTGTCGTTTTTATTTGTTGATGATATAACATTTGTCCACACGTACCGACGAGTTGAGCTTCCGAGTGCACTACCACTCTTTCAAGAATACATTCATTCGCTTGAGACTTGGTGCGACAAGTGGATGATGACGTTTTAAGTACAACAGTCAGGTATAATAATGTTGCGGTCGCTCGCTTGACACCCGAAGTATCTATCACACGTAACAGCGAACGCATCTGCGTACAACGGTCTAAACGTGACCTTATAATCAGATATTTTTGTACCTTCATGTTCCTAGAACAGATTGAGTATCAGATAGCATGAGCCAGACAATCCTTCACTAACATCTCTCCTAACATGCATACAATCACAGCTACAGTTGAACTATTTAAAATCATTAATGGTCCCATCCTGGAGTCTTGCAGCATAATCGGATGCAATATGAGGAAATCAGAGAGAACATCGCTATAACTCCTTCAACGGTCATTTGGTAAACACGTATTGGGAAAAAAGTCTATCATAAACCCTCATGAGCGTCGCCAGCAACTCCATCTCGATCTGCTTAGGCTGGGAAAACTAAAAGATAACGAGATTGCTGCACAATCCGATTCATGACAATACCAATTGCAATCGATTCCTCCTTAACATTGCAGCATAAGTACACGTGAGAGCTAGGTAACCAAGACATTACCCTTATTATATCACGATGCGTGACAAATTTGCTGTGTAACTTTTGTCTCACCATATATGCTTCTCTGTGGCATCGGCTGCAATTCACCATCTGGTCTTGCAAGACTATGCAATCCTTTCGCCATAAGTTGTGGAGCTACCTCTACCTGGACACCACTCTGTCGTTCTTTTTCGTGGGAAGTTCATTTGAACATCAATTTAATGAAAGCCCAGATAACCTTTAATAGGTGTATTACCACTATTTCACGCAATGTAATTATTCCTCAGTGTCTACAACATACTGAACGTGCAATTTTGTTTCCTGCCATCGCATGATTCAAACATATGGGGCAAATATTTGCCAGAAATGCACACAAATATAAGAAGATAACGTGCTTATGCTCTTTCAAGAGCATGACATCACCTGTGCGTGTATGTTCGATGCCAAATATTGTCACAGCTCAAAATGACTTGATGTACTGGTAGCTCGGGTTGATCGTTCCTGAGTTCACTTGTTCGCCGAGCTTCGGAATTGGGATGCAAACGTTTCATCACCAAATGAGGTGACTTTGTCAGTGCGCTGCTGGGTCCACTGTAATCCGCTGACTTGTTCGTCGATTTGTACTCGATCAGCAAGTGACTTTTAAACTGACCTCAATCTATGCTCCGTAACCTACGCCGGTCTGCCCAACTCTGATAGACACGGGCGATCGGTTGGATGGTTTTGCCCTGGCTGTTGCTGACGTGGTCAGCTAAACGAGCCATCAATAAGACATCAGCAACAGCCGAGACAAAACCATCCCATCGATTGCCCGTGTCTATCAGAGTTGGGCAGACTGGTGAAGGTCACGGGGCGTAGATCGAGGAGGTCATTTCAAAAGGCACTTGCTGATTGATAACAAATCGATGAACAAGTCACCGGATTACATTTGACCTAGCAGCGCAATGACGAAGTCACCTCGTTTGGTGATTAAACGTTTGCATCCCAATTCCGAAGCTCGGCGAACAAGTGAGCTCAGGAATTGTCACAGCTTTTCACTTGCTGAAAAATAGGCCCATTATTACTATTACCTTCTTGCAATATATTCTTTCGACCCGCGGCAATACTAATCTGGTGTCTAGATGTACCATTGGCACTGTACACCTTTTACCGATTACATATTGTGCGCTCGATACGATACGGACTGCTCGCACAAACGCTGGAAATTTGGCACAGGGACACCGGCTACCGGCCGGACTAGAATGCGAACCAATAGTAACTCTTTCAGACGAAAGAGCTTTTAAGGGGATGCTAAGGAAGAAAGTTCAAACATATCATCCTAGGTTGACCAGCTACAGTCAGAAGTATTCTTGGTGACCTCTAGCATTGACACTCCCATCCATGTCTGCCTTCCGTTAGTACCAATGTGTCAACCTACTCGGGAGCGTACCTGTCCCCCATAGACACATACATCTAGCCCTGTGCTTATCTTCAGGGAGTCCCATGACCAATAAGCGTGTCACTGCTTGTGCGTGCCTGTAACCCCTCAGGCAGAGAATGAATTGATGCGCGCGTGAACTTGAATGAACAACACGTTATTTGATTTTTTACCCAGCTAACGTATTAGCACTATGCGTGAAGTTGCATGTGAAAAGGTATAGATTCACATAACCTATCCCCTGCGTTTCTTATGCTTTTCTACCACATGGCTGCTAAGGCGCATTCTCTTTCCAATAATTTGTTCAGTTGCGCGAAACCCCTGGGTTGGTCTGCCCATGACATCGCAACGGAACACGAACAACTTGACCAGAATTTCGAGTTTTGCCTGCTCAGTTTAGCTTCCCCAGCTGATGATTGTACCATATCTATGGTTAGATACCCTGTGGAATTTGATACGGTTTTGGATTTGTTTAGCTCCAACGCTTAGATCTTGAACTCGGCGCAATTAAAGTTTACTACCGTTCCATCTCTTCAAATTTCTTTATTTTGTTGTACTTTGACTACTTCCTTCTTGACCACGTGAGCTGTTCCTGTATTCCCTGCACTTTGGCGATCCAACGATTACTGCTGCAAGGAAGCAAACAATGGCTCTTATATTATTTTATCATGCTTAATTCAATTTTGACATTTTTCTCTGTAGGCTACATATTTTTTGAAAATCGACCATAGATGTCATTTTCCCCACCTTCAAGCTACTTTTAGATAGATCGCACTACGTAACAGTGTTTCGCTGCAAAGAGTCTAACAGTGCTTTTTATATACTTTGAGCATACAGAATTCAAATCTGACATTGGTTTTTTTCTCTACGCTACAGATTTTTGGAAAATTGACCACAGAGGTTTTTGCAAAAATTTTCGCAATAATACTTTATGAAGCGATGTATCTTAATTTTATAAATTGATGCAAACATGTATCCTCAGCATCATTTTATTACGCATGACATAAGCACTAAGCTAGATGCATAACAAGCATTAACCGAGCAATAATGTGCGTTTATAGCTTTTGCGTCGAAACGTTTTCTTAGGGCAGTCTTGTCAGCCATCATGTGTTTATCCTATGGTCCCTGACAACGTTCTTCGATCCTCACCATTTCTTGATGAAAACCTCCACCCCAGTTTGTCCCTTACTGCCCCAAGGTTTACCCAGCTTGACGCTAATGTTGCACCAATGATCGCGAAATGTCAACAACATTCTGTTAATCTGTTCCTCATAATTATTTGACTTTTTCTTTCCAAAACCGTTTTGCATTACCGCCACAAGTGACTGCCACGCATTCATCTCCTTGGCATTGATCTTTGAGACAAAATTTTCATTACGCACTAGAGCTCTTATTTAGGGGCCGTCTAAAACGCCATCTTTAATCTTCAACAAAGACAAAAAAACAAAAACTATGTACTGAGAATATTCGTCAGCTGTATTCGGAGCTCTCACATAGTCTTCATAAGTTGAAGTCGATTCATGTACCTGGGCCCCCTCTTCACTCGCACTGACTTCAGCTAATGAAGCAAAACCCTTAATTTTGGAACTGGGAGCTCTTCAAAGCGTGGAATGGATCGAATTGCAGAGGAAATACTGGGATAAAACATCTTATGTCAATTTTTCTTGCCAATACCTTTCGTATTAACTGTGCCAAATAGCAGTCTGCGATGTGATTTGTAGGTCCCCGGCAAACTATGGGAACTCCAAATGGCGGGCCTTTGCGTTTGCCTTCTGTCCAATCACGAAGCGTTTCCTCGCAATCATGGCGTACAATGTGGGATGCCCATTTTAGTCCTGGCTGGTGTATAGCAGCCGCACATATAACAAAATGAATAGGGTTTTTTTGCACATTTATGTCTACCTGAGTGAGCCATGGTCATGTCTGAAATGAGAGTGGATTGATATTTAATTTCGATTTATGTAAAATATTAAAATGGACTAAAACTGAAGCTTGCAGAAAAAACACCCTATTAAAAATTCATGTAGAATCAGCAGCACAAAGTTGAAAAACTTTTGTTGCACTGTGTTATTTGTCTATTTGTCTGAGTTAAATTCAGTTATTAAAGGCGGGAAAATCGGTGTTTCGCCGGCAGATTTTTTTTGGGGGGACCTATCTCGTTTCCCAGTTCACCTCGTATTGCTCTATCCAGTATCGATAATATGTCTGACTTTTTTGGTAACCTCTGGAAATCAACATCGCATTATTTAAGCACAGGCTGTAGTCGCCTTCTATTTCATTTCCTATGAGTTCCATTTCCTGTTTTCAGATCGTTTAAACGGGACTGAAGCGGGTTGTGTCGTTCGTATTCACCAGATGCTGTCGTTCCCCGACTGTCTTTCGAAAATCGAAGTAATTCCTTACCTTTGTATCTTTTCTACTTCTCTTTTATTCTTAAGGCTTTCTTTTACCATTTTCGTGCTTTTGCGTCAACTTTGCACTACATATGGCGAGCAACACTGTTTCGTATGTGTCCTTTCTTTTGTCTGCTTTTGATTCGCTCATCCCGACTCGTTCTGTCTATGCATTCCCCTCGATTTAACAGCGTATCTCAAACGTTTCAACTTGGCTGCGTGCATTTATTTCTTAATCCTGTGGCAGGCACACTCGTGAGTGACACTAGTTGGTGAATATTTCTTGCTACACGCAACTGATTCTCCGTTTCTCTCAGGCGTCAATAGGTTTAGTTCAGTTAATCAACGCTGCTGTGTGGTGTGTCTGTTCTCCATAACCCATATCGCCATTGCAACAAGAATAGTTGGCAAAAGTATGCCTAACTGATCAAACCAGAGTAGAGCTCCAAAGGATGATAAACGGGAACGTGTACTTGTTGGATGAAAATGTTGATTAATAGCTTCAATGCAGCTGCGTCACATCCGAAATACTGGCCAATACCTGGTGTGGGGAATCCCTTGGACTCCATCTGGATAAAAGATACTCACTGGCCAGATCAAGTCCCTTTATCAGGTCCTTCTTACATTTTTATCCCATAATCCCTAGGCCACCCTAGGGCTACACACTCAGACGTGGTATTCACGAATAAACCACGCTGTCAACCAGTGGATAAGCATCCTTAGCATGTAGTCTAACCACCGTTGATAGTTCTTTTTTACATGCCCGTCCGGTTCGGAACAAAAGCCGCTACCACTAGTGTGGATCTTGACTTTGTGTGTTGATTTACCGCGAGGCATTGTGGCTGGTGTCGGGTAAGTTTGGTTGCCCGCGTAAGTTTGCAAGTTTAATTGAATGTCTGCACAGTGGTATGCGAGCGAGGGTGCAGCTGAGTGGAGAGACCTCGGATGACTTTGCAGTTGTCTCTGGTGTGAAGCAAGGCTGTCTTAGCTCCTGCCCTGTTTAATATATATCTTCATGCAATGTTATCATGTGCTTTTGATGCGGCTTGTGCTTACGGTGTTCGTGTGGAGCACCGTATTGATGGTGGGTTGCTGAACATCCGTCGTTTCGGTGCGAGAACTCTAGTCTGTGAGACAACTATCCGTATGTTGCTGTTTGCTGACGACTGTGCGTTGTTTTCACACAGCGCGGATGAGTTGCAGCACATGACTAGTGAATCTTTTCTGGACGCACAATTCCGGCTCGTATAGTCTGATCGCTAAACTCTCTGCCGATTCAAGTAAGCGCTTGTGAACGCACTTTGATCGATTTTCAGGTGGTCGATAGATGATCTTAAATGCCTCGGCTAGATTTTGGGAATGATCCGTGTCGGCAAGATGCGTGGCGATGGATAAGTTGGTTAGCTTTCGGCACCCAGTCGCAAGCCAGGCCGGATGGTGTTCTCTCACCCTGTCAGACAAGCGCCTCGTCGTACGGCCAATATACCCTGAACCACAAGAACAGGTGAATGAGTAAACATACATGGAATTGGCATGGACAGGCCTTTTGTCTTTTGGGTTAGTTTTCACCATGGGGCTACGGACCATTCCCCCAATCTAGCCGAGGCATTTAAGATCATCTATCGACCACCTGAAAATCGATCAGTGCGCTCTCAAACGCTTACTTGAATCGGTGGAGAGTTTAACGATCATGACTAGTGCTCTGGCTTCGACAGCGGCCAAATTCGGGCTCACCATCAACACAAGAAAAACTGTCTGTCTCTTTCAGCCTTCACCGGAGGTGCAATCTTCAATATTGCCGCAAATCAGCATTGGTGCTGAAGTATTGGAAACCACCTCCCGCTTCAGCTACCTTGGGAGTGTGATGTCGACTGATCAGCAGCTACACGTTGAATTGCGTAATCGCGTGTCGAAGGCAGCAGCGGCATTCGGGAAGCTTGAGTACCGAGTGTGGAACAACCATCAGCTTACCATTGGCACGAAGCTGGTGGTGTACAAATCCATGGTACTGTCCGTTCTTCTATACGGCAGTGAAACGTGGACGATGTACCGTCGGGATGTGCGCTATCTCGAGCGGTTTCATCAGCAGTGTCTGCGATGAATTTTGCGCATCGGTTGGGGCGACAGAGTTGCTGACACGGAAGTGTTGCGCCGAAGTGGGATGTATGCAGTGGACTGCATACTTTTACTGAGACACCTGAGATGGCTCGGCCATGTGTGGCGCATCGATTCGACTCGGATACCGAAACAACTCTTATACGGTCAGCTGAGTATTGGGAAGCGGCACGTGGGGTAACCAAATTTACTTTTTCAGGACATGATCAAAGTGAGCCTCACACGTTCTAATCTTGATTGCAGGTCATAGGAATCGAAAGCTGTTGATCGGCGGCTATGGCGCGATCTTATCACGAAGGCAGTTGCTGAAGTGCGGGAGAAAGACCTCATACATGCAGAGAAAAAGCGGCAAGTTCGGAAGCGGCAAGCACCCATGGATTGTAGTTCATCGATATAGAGTGCATGGTGTTGTAGCATATGCGGTCGCGAGTGCCTTAGTCAGGCAGGCCTAGTAAGCCATGAGCGAGGCCACTCGGGACCACTACTGAAGCGCCGACGGGTTCTGCAGAGAACGTAGGCAGAACCGGCGCAGCGTTTGTAGGTACGCTGCATTCGATTTACTGACCGCGTGCTTGCATGCTAAGTCTCTTTATTTCAGGTGGTGGGTTTTCAATTTTGCCCTAATGCTTTTCTTTCCCATATAAATGCCTAGTTATACTCTCTTCTATACACTTGCACACGTCGCTTAAGCCACTTTTAGTTATTTCGATAACATTTTCGTGTTTGTAGCATTTCCGTAAAATAAACCTCCTGACCTCGTGAACTTACCTCGTATTCTTTTGTAAACAACTTATTTCATATGCTCACTAATTTAAGATTTATGTCACCGTTTGCTTGCTTGCTAAGTCTGTTTATTTCAGGTAGTGGGTTTTCAATTTTGTCCCAATGCTTTGCTTTCTCGTACAAATGTCTACCCGTACTTTCTTCTATAAACTTGCACACGTCACTTAAGCCAATTCTAGTCCTTTCCGAAAACATTTTTGTGTTCGTGGCATTTCCCTAAAGTTTGCCTTCTGACCTCGTGAACTTATCTCGCATTCTTCTGTAAAGAACTTACTTCAGATGCTCATTACTTTAAGATATATATGTCACCCTTTCCTAGTGAGCCATGGGCGAGGCCACTCGGGACCACTACAGAAGCGACGACGGGTCCTGCAGAGAAGGTAGACAGCACCGGCGCAGCGTTTGTAGGCACGCTGCATTCGATTTACTAACCGCGTGCTTGCATGCTAAGTCTCTTTATTTCAGGTGGTGGGTTTTCAATTTTGCCTTAATGCTTTTCTTTCTCATATAAATGTCTACCTGTATTCTATTCCATTAACTTGCACACTTCGCTTAAGCCAATTGTAGTCGATTTCCATAGCATTTTGTGTTCGAGGTATTCCCTAAAGTATACTTTCTGACCTCGCGAACTTATCTAGGATTCGTTTGTTAACAACTTATTACATATGCTCATTAACTTAAGGTTTACGTCACCGTTTCCTTATGCATTTATCGAGTTATTTTCTTGTCTCTCTCTCTCTCAAATGATTGGCTGTTGTTTGATATCCCCGGTGTGGCTGCGCTTGATGTGTATGTTGACAAGGTGCCTACCTGTCTATTACCCGCTACCTCGTCCATACTGGCTCCAGGAGACAGTTGGTCGTTGCTGGAGGGGACGGGGTGCATGGTCCTTGTGGCCGTGTTAGGCTCGAAGAGTGGTTCCATGCACTCAGTATGGAGCGGACTACGGTCCAGTCACCGCATTGTGTGCGCTTGATTCCCCAAATACAGCGTGCTTGTGTTTGCCTGTGAAGGAGTGTGGGCCGGCTCCATTGATGAAACGTGGCTCCCATCCGCAAGCCTCCCGGTCTTATTCCTTCGGGTTTACAGTGAATATGGGGTGTGTGGTTGGAGCTGTGGGTGGTGCAGCGCAAGCCACCCATGGTCCCTCTGTTGGCGCAGGCGTCCTGTGGCTGGCCACAGTGACAGGCAAATCCGAAACCGGATGCCGCCAACCGTATATATGCTGACTAACACTACGCTAGAGCCATCACATCGGATGAGCCGGTGGTCGGAAGTCAAGCGAGCTCGCGTTCAGCTTCTGTCTCTCACTACGTTGACTGAATTTTCACTATCTCTGTTCTCATAGGTTCCCTACGGTAAGACAATTCACCGACCATACGTTCAGTTCGATAGGCGTAACATACGATCGCTCTTTATTCCTCTGAATGTTGCGAATACCCAATCCTCCATCTCTGACTTGTTGTTGTCCAGTTCTTGGTCACTACTGTGCAGGCAGCCGGCACTCACCTACGGTTTACCGTGGTTGCAGGCGATTGGTTTGCTAGTCAAATCAAGTTAAGTCTATGTAAGCTTTTTACATCCGGGTAGGCGCATTTTCTACATGTCACACTATCACTGCGGATGGTGTAATATGTGAAATTACTGCTAAATAAACAAAATAAAACGTCTAAAATTTTTATGCACATATCACTGGAGCAAATAATTTCTCATCATACTAATAGTTTTGGGTCAACAAGTAAGCGGGACAGGTACGATAGCACAGAATTGCGGTAAGATACAGTATGGGAAAATAAAGTCGTAAATTTGGAGCGGGTAAAAGAACTATATAGTGTTTTTGATATATCACCATCTAGTGGATGAAGACGGTCGGTTAGAATTTTGGAGGAAAAGCTAGTACAAGCGTCTAGAGGCTTGTAAACATTAAAATTCACAATGGGTTCTCCGAGCAATCTTCTTTACCTAGAAGTATGCTTTATAGACCGTACAATCAATGCGTAGTCTATTTTTGTAAACCTGGGAACAGTAGGGCCCATGCAGCAGTATACATGCAGTCAGAAATTTAAGTATCAAATCACTGGTTACTGAAAGTACTTTAAC